CGAGGTGTTCAAACCTGACAACGGCAGAATCAAGTTTCGCCCATCATGGAGAAGGGGGAATGTTCCCCGGCCTTTCCGCCGCATGGTGAGGGCTGATGAACCCCGTGGAGCATGCTGGAATAGCAGTAGCAAATCCATTCCACCCTTGAGGGTGGTGGAACAATAAAGTGCACCTGCCAGCGAATAAACAAATCACCGTAGGACAATGGATATTACACCAAATTGTTTTATTTTACTAGACTAAATGTAGAGCACTTCATATTAAGCACAAATTACATTTTCACCATCAAAACAAAATGTGATTTTCATTTTTTTTCACCAACCACAGATCATACAACACTTAAACAATGGTTGGTATGGTACGGTAGTAGACAATATACAGTTACAACGTTGTATGCATGCGAAAGAAACAAGATCACGAAAAAATAAAAAGTACAGAAAGCGTAGTTTTGATATTTTAGGTAGAAGAGCTTTCTGGTGAAAACTGCTTGATTAACAATAATTTTTAATCTTAGGCGTGTACATACTCGAGATATTTACACGGCTTCAGGTTGCCAGCAAGTGAATATGTCCTGTTCGTTCAGGAACCTTGCTTCTAGTTGCTTCAAGATCCAAAGTGGGGATGAGGATGAGGCGTGGATCATGTGGGAGGATAGATCACTCAGGATGTGGGAGAACGGGCGAACACTTGGGTAGTGGGAGAACGGGAGATTACTTGGGAAGTGGGAGAACGGGAGATCACTTGGAAGTGGGAGAACGGGAGATCACTTGGGAAGTGGGAGAACGGGAGATCACTTGGAAGTGGGAGAACGGGAGATCACTTGGGAAGTGGGAGAACGGGAGATCACTTGGGAAGTAGGAGAACGGGAGATCACTTGGGAAGTGGGAGAACGGGAGATCACTTGGGAAGTGGGAGAACGGGAGATCACTTGGGAAGTGGGAGAACGGGAGATCACTTGGGAAGTGGGAGAACGGGAGATCACTTGGGAAGTGGGAGAACGGGAGATCACTTGGGAAGTGGGAGAACGGGAGATCACTTGGGAAGTGGGAGAACGGGAGATCACTTGGGATGTGGGAGAACGGGAGATCACTTGGGATGTGGGGCGACGGGAGACCACTCGGGATATGGGAGCACGGGAAAATACTTCGGATGATGGACGATTAAAACGAGGTTAGCGACGAAGGGTGATGCGATCAGGGGAGGGACGAGGTTTGGGCTAGAGGGAGGGAGGGAGTGAGGGAGGGTGACGCTGAGAGAGAGGGATGACGGTAATTAGTGGAGGACGAATCGGAGGAAGGGAGCCAGGAGCATAAGCGGATTAATAACGACTAGTAGATGTCAGGTAGTCCAGAAAAAAAAACAACAGAGGAGACCAGAGAAAAAATGAACGAGAGGAAGTAAGTCTGAACAAGGAAAACACCGACGACGGATAAGGGAGACGAAACAACGGCATTGCAAGTAGGATGGAAAATTTCACAGTGCGAACATAGGAGAGGAAGTAGGGGGGAGTAGGGAACGGGGAGAGCTGTCGGAGTATGGGGGATGGAACTAGACGAACACTGCTGCCTAAGTGATCACTGAAGGTTCTAAGAAGTAGTCGTGGTCCGCCATGGAGCTCGCTACCGAGGATCGGATCTGGCAGCAATCAGTTTCGACCACCCAACTTCCCAGAGCTGCTTTGACATCACGAGCACTTCGTTGTAAAAAACAGATTCGTGATAAGTAATGGTTTCTGTAGCATATGTGTACACAGGATGAGGACGAGACTGCTATGCTATAGAAAACTGTGATCTCGTTACGACGATCAAGATTCAAAGGCAAGCTGTGTTCGGTATATACTGTACTGACGGTCCAAGGATCACTTCTCCGTGATGGCCTCAGGCTTTGGCGGACCATTCTGCACAGAGATAGCGAAAAGAGAGGAGGAAAGTAAAGATCCGGATGATATTTGACGACATCCCATGGCTTCCAAAGTGGAAACCGATTAAGTGCAAAAGATGATCGTATTCACCACCCGAATCACACAACAGAATAACAAAACGCACCACTACGTAATCTTGGTGGAGCTTTCGTGCAAGCTGCCACATGGCGGTTGCGGAGAGGAAAGCGTTGACGCTGAAGAGATTCCAGTTGACGGGGACAATGTCGACACTGTACTTCATGAAGATGAGGCCGGTCACCGCGGCTGCCGATTGTTGCGGGTAGGAAACCTTTTCTGTAATTTATGTGGGAGGACGACACGGCATTGTCAGTCTTGTGAGAAAACAATGATTTATCATCAAAGGCGCACTGAACTGGTACGGCCATGTCCCAACCTGACAACGATACTGCCACATGGTTAGGAGAAACTAGCGTGGACAATGCAACCCAGTGGAGTGCCATAACAAATCCCAACCTGGAGGCCGATTGTAGTCAGCGATGTTGGCTAGCCCAAGGCTCCATTTGAAAGTAGGAGCCCAGAAGAAGACAGTCTTAGGGCCAGCGGGGTGGTTGTAGAAGTCCCTGGCCCATTGAAAGGCTCTAGACGAGCTCATGGTTTCAGATACCGACTACAAGCATTCAAACATACGCGATCCTCCTAACTCCAAAGACAGGATCTTGTAAGGTTATGGAGACTCTGGCGAGGGAGGGAGATGGGATGCATTAGTTTGCTGGACTTGTTACCAGCAGGTATCAAGACATTTTGCACGAAACGTTGTCAGGCCACGCGACGGTTGTAAAGCATATGGTTACAAGTTCCTAACTACTGTACTCGTGGACGCCAACAAGGCTGCTGCGGTGGAATCGAGGCCCGCTAATTGAGGGACAATGTCCACCTAATGCAAAGATTTTTGTCGCATGGTCTGTATCGAGCACCCTGATTCGCTAAATGAAATGCCCTGCCGAGATCCAGGCAGCGTGATGAGCTGGCAGCTTGCAGATTCGACATGGGGAAAATGCATCGTCCCGTTACACCCCAGTAATAACAAGTGTTGTGTCACCTGTTGTCTCGATATACATTCTCTTTCCCCTCTTGCAACTATTCATAGAAAATTCACTGAATCATCGTCAAGAGAGATTTTATTTTGATTATTTATTTTTTAAATCTATTATATGTCCTAATGCGGCTGGAAAGGCGCTCAAGAGTAATGTGTGAAAGGAGAAATGTCTATGATTGAGTATGTGATGGTTTATGAGAGTAACAAAAAGAACTGTACTCATCTTCCCCCACACCAACCCTGGTTGTGTTTGGGAGTGCCTGCTTCTCCCACACGGGCCTCATGGTTTGTTTGTTTCGCCAACAAGGCGCGGCATCCTCAAGATGCTGAGCTCCCGATGTACACGAGGGAGGATTCAGAGCTCCTGTCGAGACCTCAGGTCAGGCGGCTCCACACGGAGTTGGACACACAACTGACCCGAAGAGGTCACTGACAGGGCAAAAAATGTGACAACGATGACCCGAGGCTCTGCGGCCCGAACATAGGTGTCTGACATGAGCCCTAAGCTTTGGATGTATCGGGGCATGTAAAACTGATGAGTACAGCATCAAAGACATATCGACTTGAAGGGGTTTTCACCACAAAAGTGGTGAAAGAAATCGAATTCAGGACTGACCGCCACTTTTAGGACCGTGCCAGCTTTCAAAGGGCACTGCTGGGTTTACTCCAGGGACCCGTGCCACTTTTACTCCAGGGACCCGTGCGACCGAAATCTCGCCTGACCCAAACCAACTGAACCAAGCCCACACAGCAATTGTCTTCCACCCATCAACGGTCTCTGTGTCCCCGCAGCACTCTACCTTGATCGCTACCTTGAGGCTTTTATGCACCTAGTCTCTCCACTCTCTTCCCCGTAGTCACTTCAGAAGTAAGTATATATTAGAAGGTCGCTTCGATTACATTTACAGTAAGAATAGGTTTCATCTGACTGGCACGTGTTAGAAGGTGAAGAATGGCGACGATGGAGGTGGCGGGGTGGGAGGACAAGGACGCGTTGCTAGACAGCGCGTGGATGGACGCCGCCACCAAGGACGACGAACCCGAAGACGACGAACCCAACGCTGACGACTTCCGTCGCTCTCGCACGTTTACGTCGTCCATACTCTCCCGAATTACCGCGTCAACACCTGGAAGAGGCGAGTCGAGCAGAGCGACCCCGCGCGGAGCCAGCGACGGCAAGGCGGCGTCTAGCGGCGGCAGCGCCAAGGACGGCCCGAGGCCGCCCAAGTGGCTCAACTTCCGGGGCTCCGCGAGCAAGGGGGCATCCGACGACAGCAGCAAGGCGGCGGCTACTCCAAGTGCGAATCGGACCGCATCCTCGAGAACTTCGGACGCCAATTGGTCCGACAAGCAGTTGTCGCCTCCGGCAGACACGTCTGCGGCTGACGAGCCGTCAATGGACGATCTTCGTCGATCCATTACCGTGTCCGCCGTTGATAGAAGCTCGTTGCGCCGGCAGCACAAGGAGATGGGCACCCTCCGCGCCACTGCCGAGGTTGCGAACAAGAAGGCGAGCGCGCATGGCGGCAGGATCAGCGCCTCCACCGGCGTCGGTAGCGGATTGGATGCACCGGGTGCTCAACCCAACCCGGGAAACGCGGGTGGGCTTGCACGGACGCGATCCGGCGGAAGCGCAACATCGGTGGTGTCGCGACCTCCCGCCCCCGTGTCGGCCGCTAAAGTCGCCTTCTTCTCGTTCAATAAACACCGCGAGGCCGTCGCTGGCGCGGAACATGCGGAGCAGCTGACGCTTTCCGCGGATGAGCAGAAGGCGCGCGGACAATCGGGGGAAGCTGTCGCGCGGAAAGGCTATGGGCGGCGGGCGCAGAGCATTGGTGGAACGGCAGGGGAGCTGCGCGGAAGAGGGGGCATTCCGGATGGCGGGAGGGCTTCATTGGGAGGCCCGGTGCGGGCCAGCTTGGGAAGGTGCGTGAGAAACTTCTGGACTTGGGAACGGTACGGAAGAAAGCTAGAGGTCGAATCTTATAGCTCTTGATAGCCCACGGATGGTTGGAAGTTAAGGCGTGCAGACCATGGCGGCGCGTGTTCGAGGCCACTGCTGTGCCGCGCGGATAAGCCTGGGTTGTACGCAGTTACCTGTAGCCGTCCGCGTTTGTAGGAGCCTCTTGTTCCGAACCATTCTGTTATTGAGCCGGAGCAGAGCTGCGGACCGGGCGATCTGTAGAGCGCATCGCGGTAACTTTCGAGTCAACTCAAAGTCACCTCATTCCATGGAGCGCCATCTCTTTGACGGTGTAGGGTTCAGTAGCTTCATTTGAAGGTAAGGTTTGGTGTGAACCCCGTCGTTTCTGCCGTCGGGAGCATGGGTTGAGCGTTGTCATCAGTCATCATCGGGCCCCTGTGGTGCTGCACCCGCTGCTCTATCCACTCTCCCTCGCCTCTGCCCTCCTCCGAATTCTCCCTGCCGTCCCACTCCCCCCCGCCTCCCCTTCCCCAGGAGTCGCAGTGTGGGCAACGCTCAGAGCGACGCGGGCAGCCATGGTCTCTCGCCGCTGCACCCGTCCGCCTCCCGCCTCTCCGCCCACTCCGACCGCCCCGCCTCCCCGCAGCTCATGCGCCGCCCCCGCGGCCACTCCGCCTCAATGCTGCCCCCCACAGTGCGCACCTCCACGCCTCCCCGCGCGCCCGACCCAGGCGAGCGCCCAGGCTCGTCCCTGTCCGAACGAGGGAGTGGGCCGACTGGCAGGCGTAAGAGTGGTGTGTCTAGGCGAAAGGAAGGGGGGGTATCAGTAGGAGGCTCGGAACGAACGGGGTCGCCCCTTTCACGAGGAGCTTATAGCGGGTACGGAACTGAGGATGGGCCAGGGAGTGTTGCAAGCGCGGGGCTCGTGGGGGGCAACGGGGAAGGCGAATACGAGCAGTACCAGCAGCGGGGGAGCAGAGGGCGCGGGATGGGCGCAGGGGGAGGGGCGCAAGGGGGAAGGCATGGGCGGCAGAAATCAAGCAGCAGCAATGGAGGGGGTGAAGGGGAGGGCGTGCGAGGGGGGATGAGCGGAGGTGGGCGTGTAGAGGGGGGAGCGAGTGCGGGGAGAATGGGGAGGGGAAGCGTGGCAGTGAGGGGAGTTGCGGGTGGGGGGGCTGCGAGTGGCGGGAGAGGATCGGCAGGCGGGCATGTGTACGGGTATGGCAGAGGAGGGGCGGCGATTGAAGGGGGGGAGGATGAGGGGTATGGAGAGGGAGGGGTGTGGGAGGAGGAATTTGATAGTGGGGAAGGGGCGGGGGGGCTGGTGGGTGCTAAGGAGCAGCAGCAGCAGCAGTGGCAGGGGCAGGGGCAGCAGCAGTGGCAAGGGCAGGGGCAGGGGCAGCAGCAGTGGCAGGGGCAGCACATGCAGGCGCAGCAAGGGCATGTGGATGGGTATTCAAGTGGATACGTGGATGATGAAGGGAGGTACTCGGGCGATCAAGAGGGGGAGGAGCAGCAGGGAGGCGACGAGTGGTATGAGGGAGGGGAAGGGGGGGATCCTGGGGCGTACGCGCAGCAAGGGGCGTGCGGTGAGGGCGCATACGAGGAGGGCGTGTATGGCGGCGAAGAGGGCTATGATGAACAGGTTGGGGGGACGCAGGGTTATGGCATGCAGGCAGGGTATGAAGCAGGGTACGGCGAGGCAGGGCGTGCGGAGCAGGGGTATGGGCGGCAGGGGAAGCGGGGCGGAGGTCACAGCGAGTACAGCGAGACAGGGTATGGGGAGCAGGACCATGTGCCGCAAGGGTATCATGACACAGGGTATAACGATCAGGGGTATAGCGAAGAAGTGTATACTGAGCAGGCATATAACGAGCAGGGGTATAACGAGCAGGGATACAACGAGCAGGGATATAACGAGCAGGGATATAATCAGCAGGGATATAACGAGCAGAATTATAACAAGGAAACGTACAACGAACAAGGGTATGTAGAAGATGGGTTTGGAGGGCAAGGGTATGAGCAGGGGTATGTGGAGCAGGGATATGGAGGGCAGGGGTATGGGGAGCAGGGGCAGGAGGGGCAGGGATACGAGGAGGACGAGTACTACGAGGAGCAAGGCAGCGGTGGGGGTGGGGGATACAGCCAAGGCCGAGGGGGGCAGTACGCGGTTCAGGTGCAACCTGGGCGTCAGCAGTACCAGCAGCAGCGGCAGCAGGCCTCACAGCAGCAGGAGTATTCCGCGCAGCAGCAAGGGTATCCCCAGCAGAAACAGCAACAACAGCAGGCGCAGCAGCAGGGTGCTGGGAGGTCGTCAAGAAAGGGGTCACTGGGAGCAGCAGGTGCAGGGGGGGCAGGGGGGGGAGCAGAGATGGGCGGCGGAGGCACGACAGGAGCCGCTGCGCCCCGAGGCAGGGCCTCCAACCACCAGCCCCCGCAGTCGCATCAGCAGCCGGCCAATCGGCGCCCGCCAAGTGGAGGGGCGAAGGGTGCTGGTGTCTCTCGCAGTCGAGGAGGTGCAGGAGGTGGGGGAGGGTACTGATGGATGGGGAGAGGTGGAGGAAGAGAAGGTGCGAAGGGTAGGGGAGGGGTGTGGGTTGCAGACAATTAGGGAGTCATAGGGGTCTGAAAGACATAGGGGTGCAAAGGGGAGAGAGGATGGGCGGAGAGTGGGGAGAGAGGATGTGCGGTGAGTGGGGAGAGAGGATGTGCGGCGAGTGGGCTTTCCTTGTGTCATTGCTGTGAGCAATAGGGGCACGGCTCCTACCGTACTCTCTTTCGGTTGCTGGAGGGGAGTGAAAACCCATCTACCGGTACCTAACTGCTGCTCCATCACAGCACAGTGAGAACGCTCTTGTTTCAAAGGCAAAGTCAGAAAGTGTCCGTGTTTCTGGTGCGAGGCGGCAGGCAGTGGCGGCGGCAGGCATGACTGCAGCTGGCATGACTGCAGCTGACATCACATGGCATGGTGGCATCTGGGAGTGCCACATGCACACAGCCAGTAAACACAACTCCCTGCTGCTGTGTGCCCAATATGGGTTGCCCTGTGGTGGACGTGGCTGCAGGTTAGGGGTTCACTTGGGTGCTTGTAACAGCTATGGTATGGTGAATGCTGAATGCATCTCTGACGGTGGCCAATGCAGCCTGCAGATGTGTCATGTGTCTCCACATGCCTCCCTGCCAACCACATGCTCTGTGTAGAACGTTCAAAATGCTAATATCTGTACAACTATCTTTCATAATGAATATATATTTTAAGCTGGCACAAGATTATTCGATCGCTGGCACAAGATTATTCAATCGCAGGCAGACTACACTCTTACACACATAATCCACCGAATCCAGCTCCCACAACCCCGCCCCCTTCATCCCCACCACCGCCTCCTCCGCCGTTCCCCCTCTCCCCCCCGCCACCATCCACGCCCCCTGCTGCACGCCCTGTGACTCAAACGAGGAGTTCACCTCCGATGGCGCCATGTAGCACGGCAGCCCCACCCTCCATACAGTCACGCCCACACGGAGCTTCCTCGCTGCTTCCTCCAGTGCAGCCCACCGGGCTTCACTGTTGCCTGCACCCAGCCATGCCGCTCGCAGCGCCTCCCATGACCTTGATTCCCCCTGCCCATTGCTGTCACCCGCGTTACTCCCAACGTCGCTGCTGCCGCCGTCACTGCTGGTGGTGGGGGTGCCCCACAGCAGGTGGGCGAGCAGGGAGTGCAGGGCGGAGTGGGCAGCAGAGGAGGGCGGCAGCAGGAAGACGTCTGACAGAGGCGAGTCCCCCACCCCCACTGCCACGCCCGCCCGCTCCCAATACTGCCCCTCACCTTGTGGTTGCTGGCCTGTGGCCTGCTCTTCTCCCTTGGCCCCCTGCTCATGCGGACTAGATCCACCCCACTGCCACTGCCCCTGCTGCTCCCCCTGCTGCCCCGCATGGCTGTGGTGCGGGTGCAGCAGGCGGGGTGCGAGGCAGAGGAAGGGGTCGCCGCCCCACGTGACGGCGGGGGAGGCGAGCAGCAGCGGCACGCGCAGACGGGTTGACAGCTGCACGGCCGTGTGGAGGTGTGCGGGGGAGGGGATGAGGGGGGTGGAGGGGGAAGAGGGAGAGTCAGAGGAAGGAGGGGAGGGCGAGGAGGGGAGGAGGGAGACGAGGTGGCCGCGCGTGGCGAGGTGCAGGGCGAGGGCGGGGCAGGAGGTGAGCACGGCATAGTGCGACACGCCCAGCCCGTCCACGTGGCACGCCCAGTTGCGCGCCAGCTGCTGCCATGCGGGCGGGGCGGGGGTGTCAGTGGCGCGCAGCAGGGCGGACGCCCAGGGGTGTGCGTGGGCGTGGTGCTGCTGCTGGGGTGACTCGGAGGGTTGGTGGTCAGGTAGGAGGAGCAGTGCGAAGGAGGTCACCTGTGGTGCAGGGGGGTGGGGTGTGGTTATGGGACGCACGAGGACGGAAACAGAATTCAGTGTTGGTTTAGAGGAGCAAAAAAAAGAAGATGAATCAAACCCAGGATGTTCCACCCATGAATGTACCATTGACTGCGTCTCTCACTCACCCCTCTCGCACTCTGCACCGCTCGCAACAGCTCCTCATCGCGCGTCACCATGGATGCATACGTGGCATCCGCCACTCCCGCTGCACCTGCTGACTCAGCATCGCCTCCTTCTGACGCATCATCAACTCCTGCACCACCCTCCTCTGCTCCCCCTATTGCCGCGGCCTCCGCCTCCCTTCCCCCCCCACTGCGCTGCCCTGCATCCCGATGCTCTCCAGCGCCCTGCTGCTCCCCCTGCTCCCCTCTGTCCCCTCCCTGCCACACCCACGCGGTGCCCCCTCGCCCCACCCAGGGCAGCGGGCGCAGGCAGAAGTCAAAGCGCGGCAGTGATGCTAATGGGGGCAGCTGCTCCCACCACCATGGGCCCTGCTCCGCTGCTCCCACCTGCTCTGCTGCGCTCAGGTGCTCCATCATGTGCTCTCTTGCATTCAGGTGTTCTGCTGCATTCACCTGCTCCACTGCACTGATATCTGCTGTGGCAGTGAGGTGGTGCGGCATGAGCAGGGTGGCATCAGCGCCTTTAGACTGCTTGAAGCTCTCGCCCTGCTCGCGGTGGCTCACACTCAGCGCCAGCCCTGCTGGCAGCGACGCGTAGAGGTTGAGAGCAGCGGTGGCGTGCGCCCACCGCACGATCCACGGCGTCCAGATGCTGTTGCCCTGTTGGGAGGGGCACACGAGGCGTGTCAACGCCGCAGCCAGTACAGGGGCCAGCGCAGTGTGCAGGGGTGAACAAGGAGGGGTCCGCGGGGAGGGGGAGAGGGGAGCGGGGGTGGCAAGGCAGGCCCACAAAAGGTAGTGCAGTGCAAGGCAGGCTGGCTGGCAGTGGCAGGGAGCGGGGAGGGGAGGACGGTGACGAGAGAAGGATAAGAGAGAGGAGGGGGGGAGGGGAGCCCACACGCTCAACCGCACGCACTGTCACTCGCACACCCCCCACCATTCGTCTCACCCCCATTCTCCTTTTCCCTGTGGCACACACCCGGCCCTTCCAGAAGCCCGTGGTCTTGAGCCCTCGGATCACCGGCTCCCTCCCCGGCGTGTACCGCCGCGCGTCGTACCACACGCGGAACGCCCGCCACGGCGCCGGTAGCAGCAGCTGCCCCCACGTGCCCACCAGCGAGTACAGGAATGGCCGCCCCGTGTGCGCTATGGGCGGCGCCGGCTGGCCGGGCACGAGGCGCTGGCGCTGCAGGGAGATGCCGTACACGTTAGAGTCGTACTCGGTATTGTTGTAGTAGTAGCGGTGCAGCATGCGCTTGAGGTAGGCGTAGAAGAAAGGGGAGACGGCAACGTCGTCCTCCAGCACAAAGGCAAACTCGTTGGCGCCGCTGGGCCACCACGCCTCCATCCACTGTGCCTGCACGCCGCCGTTCATGCTGCGCACGTGCACCTGTAGGGCACAACACAGCACCCCAACGGCCAGTCATGCTGTGCAGAGACGGTCAAGCTAACAAAGGGTTGAGGCACCGCTGTAGAGACTATGCAGGAGCTACAATTCAGTTCTGTACATGCTGACAGCCAAGCTCCATGGGCACCGTTCTTGAAAACCCCCACCGCGCGCACCTGCTTGTGGCCGTGCTGCCATGTGAACGAGTCCGCCACCGCCACCACTGACCGGAACTTGCGCCGCTTCGATGCCACCTCCCCCGCTCCCCGCCTCTGCACCGCACCAACCACAGGACGCACCTCCCCCAGCCGCCGCTGGCCCTGCCCCTGCCCCCGAGCCCTCTGCGCCCACAGCCGCCCTCTGTGGCGCCAGTTGGACAGGTCCCCCGCCTCCTCCACGCCAAACGCGCTGCGCCCCAGCCCCACCGCGCTGGGGGACGCGAATCCGCGCTTCGCGCCGCCGGGCAGCTGCGGATTCGCCTCGAGCCCGCGGATCTGCGCGCTGCCTTCCCCCAGATCGCCCTCCGCCGCGGAGTCAGTCTGCAGCGGGTCGTCCGCCTGCTCTCCTGCTCCCCACGCGCGGCTGTCCAAGCGGTCTGTGAGCTGCAGCGGGTCGTTCAGCTGCACGCCCGCGAACGGATGGTCCACGTGGATGTCCAGTGACACGTCATCGCCGCCGTAGTCTGCCGCCCGCAATGATCGCAGGCAACGGGACAGGCTCGCCGCGCGGTCGAAAGTGAGCACGATGAGCCGCACGTGCAGCCGCGACGCGTCGCGCGTGGAGCGATCCACCGAAGCTCGTCGGTCGTGCCTTTCGGTGGTGCTGCCGCTGCCGCTGCTGTCAGCGGCCATGGCGAACGGACGCGAATCAAGAGAGTCGGAGACAGCTGATACATGCGGTCCGGATGGCGCGGAGAGGCGGTGGCAGATTCGCTGGATGAATTGCGACGAGAACGCAGAATGAGCGCTCAGCGCGACGCAAACGAGGACGATTATAACGAGAGCGATCGCCATACGAGGCATGAAGAAGACTGGCCGTCTGTGAACTACCGCGGCTGTTGCTTGCGACTCGCTCGCCGCTGATGTGGCGCGCAGGTGGTCCTTGGTGTCGCCATCTGGCATGCCACGTGGCGGCGAGTCCACCCTCCGCGGGTGGCGCTGGCGCCACATGCCGGTGGCGCGTCGCGCGACCCGCTGCTACCTTGCGATCAGCAGCGACAGACGGGAAGAGAATGTACCTTGCTACCTTGCGAATGCGACGCGACGACGCTACGCGACGCGGCAAGCCAAGGCTGAGCAATGGCGGGGCATCAGAATCCGACAAGTGCATGTTGATGCTATTCGCGTAGACCTTGGGATGGAGCTTTGCTAAAATGTACTCGATATGGTTTCCTTCTTTGCTGTGCTCATCCCTTGAGCCAGAGTTAAGCTACACTTGATGTGCAGAATACGTAATTGTGGGATAAAACCAGATTATCCTTTTTGTTTCCACCTTACGTGGCTCATTTTCAACCATTAACTCCCCCACATTGTACACTTTTGTAACAGGCTCGTTAGGCACGCCCACAGCAGTAACCCACGCGCAGTGTCAAACTTGAGCCACTCGATCCGACTTCGGTTGTCATTGCTTGCCGCATTCTGCTGGGCCAAACAGCCGCGCCTCATTGTCTGTCTCCTTCCAAGCCGCGCGTCATTGTCCCGCCATGGCCGCTACCAGCGCAGCAGCAGCCTCAGCGCTCGCGTCGCCTGCGGCGCGTCCGCACCTCGCGGACCTTCGCTCGGCGGGCCATTCCGTCGCAGCGGCCCCGCCGTGCGCCCTTTCGCTCAGATCGCCGTCGGATCGTTTTAACGCTGCGAGTGCGTCAGTTGCCCGCGACGTCGCACAGGTCGCCAGGCGATCGGCCCGTCGAGCGACGTGGATCGCCTCCGTGAACGGCGGGTCCGGCGGCCCCGTGTACAGCGATGGCAACGAGAGCGACGACGCTGAGGACGTGGCAGTCAGCGACGAGTCCGTGCCGGATGACATTCTCGAAACGCTCGCCCAGTCAGCTGCTGCCACTCAAGCAGCAGCCACCATTTCCGCGAGCCTTGAAGCGAACGCGATTGCAGCCGGAGACTCCGCAGAAGAAGCGGCGGCCTTTGCGGCGGCGGAGGTGGCGGAGGCTGCAGCCCGCGCGCAGCAGCGGCAGCTGCGCGACCTGAAGCTGTGCCTGATCGACTCGCTCTACGGCACGGAGCGCGGGTTCCGCGCTAGCGGGGAGACGCGCGCGGAGGTGGCGGAGCTGGTGGCGCAGCTGGAAGCCGCCAACCCCACCGAGGCGCCCACCGAGTCGCCCGCGCTCGACGGCAACTGGGTGCTCGTGTGAGCCTCCTGCTGCCCTTTTGCCCGCCCAGTTATCCTCCTCGCCCACTCCCAACCCCCACCATTCTCCTCCCCCTCCCCCACCATTCTCCTCCCCCTCCCCCACCTTTCCTCCTGCCCCCGCCTCGTGTGTTCCCTGGTCATCGCCTCTCCCTTCCTGGCCGCTGCCGCTTCTCCCTCATTCCGCCGTGCCGCCACCCCTTCTCCCTCACGCCCTCCCCCCTCTCCTTTTTCTCCTCCTCCCCTTCTCCCCCATTCCTCCAACTCCTCCCCCCTCTTCCCCCCCAGCTACACGTTCTCGGAGCTGCTACCGCTGCTGGCGGCGGGGCAGGTGCCGCTGGTGCGGGTGGGGGCCATCACACAGAGCGTGGACCTGGCGGGGGGCGCCGTGAGCAACAGCATCTCGTTTGAGGGGCCGCTCACCTCCTCCTCCATCCGCGTGGACGCCACGGCTGAGATCAGGAGCGGCAAGCGCCTGCAGGTCAGCTGTGCTGCTGGGTTTAGCAGTGTTGGCAGGGGACATGCTGGTCAGGTGCTTCCGCTCACGACGCACCTGCTTCCCCCTCTTTTTCCTCCATTCACTCTCACTCTCACCCTCTCCTCTCCCTCTCTCTGTTCTCTCCCCACCCGCACCACACCCTCAACCCCTCCCCACCACCAGGTGAAGTTCGAGCAGGTGACCTTCTCCTCGCCGCAGCCCCTCGACGCCGCCTCCCCACCCGCCCTCGCACCCATCGCGCTATTCGGCCAGACCCTAGACCTGTCCCCCCTGGCAGCAGCGCTGCAGCCGGTGCAGCAGGCGGCACTGGAGGTGGCGAAGCTGGTGTCGGGCGTGCCGCCCCTGGCGCTGCCCATCGATGGCGAGCGCGCAGCGGGGTGGCAGCTCATCACATACCTCGATGATGACTTCCGCATCGCCCGGGGGGATGCCGGGTCACTGTTTGTCATGGTCAGGGAGGGCAGTGACCTGCTCGAGTGAGGGGGGGAGGGGGTTCTTTCTGCATGGGTGGTACAAGGGGCTCAAAGGCTTATATTTGTTCAGCTGATAGTCAGTATGGCCACTAGGGCTTTGGTTTATTGTCAACATGATACACATTATACTAATCATATTTGTAGCGTTACTTGCTCATATTCGGACAGAGGGGCAAAAACTGTTGGGGCTGGTGGTGGGGGAGGGCAGCTGCCTGCACAACGCTTCCACGCCACTGGGCGGGCGAGTATGAATGCACTCTCAAGTGCCAAGACACCTCTCCCTTCACCATGCCTCTGCTTCACTTGCCACCTTGCTCTGCCCTGTGCATCACCATCCCTAATCGTCATTCTTGCATGTGCGTTGTCCGTGCACCAAGACAGATTCCTCCCAGGGAAGGCAACCCGTGCAGGCGCAGCTAGAGCTGGAAGACACGAGCCGTGTGGTCGTCCGACCCCGTCACCGCAAAGGCCGCGTCGCTGCAGGGGGTGGGGGAGAGGGGAGGAGTGGGACACGTGGCATGCAACGCAGGTCAGAGTGGGGCAGAGAGGGAGGGGCAGGGCTGGTGGCATGCAGCCGTGTGTGATGGGCATGGTGGCTGATGCATCCTTGGGCACGCAGGTACAGATGCTAGAGTGGTAAGGAGGGGGACACATGTGCAGTCTAACCCATGCAAAACGATGAGGTTGAGGGTGATGGGTGTTGGGGGTGAGCGGGGGAAGGAGGGGGTGAGCGGGGGAAGGAGGGGGTGAGCGGGGGAAGGAGGGGGTGAGCGGGGGAAGGAGGGGGGTGAGCGGGGGAAGGAGGGGGTGAGCGGGGGAAGGAGGGGGTGAGCGGGGGAAGGAGGGGGTGAGCGGGGGAAGGAGGGGGTGAGCGGGGGAAGGAGGGGGTGAGCGGGGGAAGGAGGGGGTGAGCGGGGGAAGGAGGGGGTGAGCGGGGGAAGGAGGGGGTGAGCGGGGGAAGGAGGGGGTGAGCGGGGGAAGGAGGGGGTGAGCGGGGGAAGGAGGGGGTGAGCGGGGGAAGGAGGGGGCTCACGGGGTGAGGGCAAGGGAGACCACGGCATCACGGTTGCCGCGCAGGGTCCTCTGAATGGCCCCCGTGCGCGCATCCCACACGTGCACTGCTCCGTCTGCCGTCGCCGTCACGAGCAGTGGTGCTGCGGGCGCCCACGCCATCTGCACCACCTCGTCCTGCCGGTGGCCGCAAAGGCGGCATAGGGGAGAGGGGCGAGTGGGGAGGGGCGTGAAGAGATAAGAGGGTGAGGGAACTGTGCAGTGCTGTTTGAGTGTGTCTAGAGCACGAAGGTGTGAGTGTACAAATGATACAAGAGAGCACGGACGGCGGCGAGCAACGTGCGCAGCTGACCTGGTGAGTGCAGGTGGAGCGCAGCTGCAGCGAGTTGATGTCAAATATGCGCACTGAGCCGTCCAGTGATGCCGTTGCCACCGTTGGCCCCCTGCCATGCACCCAGCACGCATCACACACCCATGCACCCATGCAGCCATGCACGCACGCACACAAGCCAAGAGGCTTCAGGGCGAGCCTGAGGTATGTGCCTGTGGGTCACAGCTGTGCCGCTGCCTGCCACGGCTGCCGCCTGCTCTGCCTGCTTTCTGGGCGTGCGAGCAGGTGTCATGCAGTGAGGGTCATGGCAATGTGGGGCATTCAATTCCATCACACGAGGAGTGGCGGGAGGGTGCACGGAAGAGCGTGGTGGGCAGTGGGCACATGCACATGGTGCAGGGCGCGGACACTGACAGGGGGTTGAAGACCACCGCCTCCACCGAGTCCGTGTGCCCCTCCAGCTTCCCTAACACCTGCCCAACCATGCCATGCCATGCACGCCCCTCCCACATGCCATGCACCCAGCCACGTGGCAGATGATTGATGCGAGAAGAGAGGCATGAGAAGAGAGGAATGAGAAGAGAGGAATGAGAAGAGAGGAATGAGAAGAGAGGAATGAGAAGAGAGGAATGAGAAGAGAGGAATGAGAAGAGAGGAATGAGAAGAGAGGAATGAGAAGAGAGGAATGAGAAGAGAGGAATGAGAAGAGAGGAATGAGAAGAGAGGAATGAGAAGAGAGGAATGAGAAGATGTGCCCTGTGCCAAGCTTGTAGGAAAGTGAGTGGCGGTGGAGCAGTGAAGAGTGTGAGAGGAGCAATGGCAGATGCGTGTGAGAGCGAGGAGAGAGAGACAGCAGCGCAAGGCAGGAAGCAGCAGGCGATGGCGGGCACGGCAGCTGCCCTACCTTGGGCTGGTGCAGGCCAAAGAGGGCGGTGGTGTGGTCGGAGGAGCCAGCAGCGCCCACTGCGCCCTGAGGCGCCATGGCCAGACACGTGATGGCGTCGCTGTGGAACAATGGTCCTGCCATGCCATGCCATGCCATGCCATGCCATGCCATGCCATGCCATGCCATGCCATGCCATGCCATGCCACGCCATGCCATGCCACGCCACGCCATGCCATGCCATGCCATGCCATGCCATGCCATGCCATGCCACGCCATGCCATGCCATGCCATGCCATGCCATGCCATGCCATGCCATGCCATGCCACGCCATGCCATGCCATGCCATGCCATGCCACGCCATGCCATGCCATGCCATGCCATGCCATGCCACGCCATGCCATGCCATGCCATGCCACGCCATGCCATGCCATGCCATGCCATGCCATGCCATGCAAGGCGGGGAAGGGAGGGGTTGATTGGGGCACGGGGCATGAGACAACTTTCAAAGGGGCACAACAAGTATAAGGGCGTGTTTCTATGCGTCATATCAGACTTGTCTGATAAAACTAGCAAAGGTTTTCGGGTTTAGGTGAACTTTCAGTGTGAGCCTGATATGAGGTTCGCTTGATACGAGGCGTAGGAACACGCTCTAACAACAACCAAGAGAAACACCACCTATCCTACGTGAGAGGGACGAGAGGTGGGAGATGACCTTGGAGGGTGGCGGTGGTGGCGGCAGAGCGCGGGTCCCAGCAGCGCACCGACCCGTCCGTTGACCCCGTCCACACCGCCCGCCCTGGTGGGGGGAGAGATCAGGAGTAGTGGTGGGGGAAGTGATTTTTTAGTCACTTTCAACGTTGCAGCCAGCAACCTGTTTGTTGACCTCGTCCACACCACAGTGCAGGCATGAAGAGCAGAGGAAGCAGGATCGCGTACCATCGGGCGAGAAGGCCCCACAGGTGACCCCTGCGCTGTGCCCGGTGAAGACGGCCATGCACGCCCCCGTCTCCGCATTCCACATCCACGCTGTTAGATCCTCCGACCCCGCCAGTACCACCGCTCCCCGTGGATGCCAGGTCAGGAACTGCGCAGGGATGAGAGAGGCAGTGAGGAGAGGGAGACGAGAAAGGGTGAGGATGGTGAGTGGAAACAGGGTAGAATATGGGTGGAGAGGAAGGTGAGAGAGCTGCGACCGCCCACAGCAGGCACAGCAACCAGGGCAATGACCAGACAGCGCTGGGGTGAGCATGGCAGAGGAAGGCGAGGGCGAGGGCGAGGGCCGTGCCGTGCCGTGGCAGCCATGCGCACCTCGATGGCCTCCCCGGGCCCCTCGAGGCGGTGGCGCCTGTACCCCGTGTCGGCGTCCCACAGCATGACCACTCCGTCCATCCCCGCTGTCGCCACCCACCGCCCATCCCCACTGAACTCCACCGCTGCTATGCTGTCCCTGTGCCCTGCCAAGCGGAGGGGGGAGGGGGGGGTGAGAAAGGAGGGAAGCGGGTGTGAGGCCAGGCAATGCATGGCATGCTCCTGCCATCGACCCATCCGTGCATGGCATGCTGGCACGGTGGCATGCTGGCCCGGTGGCATGCGGGCATACTGGCATGTGTGATTGACCCACCCACAGCAGCATCCCACCTTCCAGCTTGACGGGGTCCTCCGCCTGCCCTATGGTCCACAGGTACGCCACGTCATCCCCGCCACCCGACGCCACTCTGCCGCCCGGGAGAGGGCTGCACGCCACCGCGTACACACTGTCTGGCGGACGGCAGGGGAGGCGGCATGGGTGATGTGGGAGAGAGAGAGGTAACCAGAGTATATGCAAGGGGAATTTTGAAGAATGAAGCATCAAGACAAGCAGCAGGCGTTGCACAGGAGCACAAAGCACTGACCTGTGTGCGCCGTGAACACATGCACTGAGTCGTCCTGCCCTCCCTCGCCCTCCTCGCCCTCCTCGCCCTCCTCGCCCCCTGCCACCACCCACCGCCACTTGCAGCACACGATCAGTCACAGCACGTGCAGCACACGATCAGTCACAGCACGTGCAGCACACGATCAGTCACAGCACGTGCAGCACACGATCAGTCACAGCACGTGCAGCACACGATCAGTCACAGCACGTGCAGCACACGATCAGTCACAGCACGTGCAGCACACGATCAGTCACAGCACGTGCAGCACACGATCAGTCACAGCACGTGCAGCACACGATCAGTCACAGCACGTGCAGCACACGATCAGTCACAGCACGTGCAGCACACGATCAATCACAGCACGTGCAGCACACGATCAGTCACAGCACGTGCAGCACACGATCAGTCACAGCACGTGCAGCACACGATCAATCACAGCACGTGCAGCACACGATCAGTCACAGCACGTGCAGCACAGGGCGACGCATGAGAAGGAGCAACGGAAGGCAGGCAGCAGCAGTGGGGGCAGAGCAAGGGACTAGCACACGTGGAGCGGAGCGGAAGCAGAGCTGCTCAGCACAGCCGTGCTATCAAGTGCTCTCGCTCCACTTCCCATTCTCATTCCCTTCCCACTCACATTCCCTTCCCACTCACATTCCCTTCCCACTCTCATTCCCTTCCCACTCTCATTCCCTTCCCACTCTCATTCCCTTCCCACTCTCATTCCCTTCCCACTCTCATTCCCTTCCCACTCACATTCCCTTCCCACTCTCATTCCCTTCCCACTCTCACTCCCTTCCCACTCTCATTCCCTTCCCACTCTCATTCCCTTCCCACTCTCATTCCCTTCCCACTCTCACTCCCTTCCCACTCTCATTCCCTTCCCACTCTCACTCCCTTCCCACTCTCATTCCCTTCCCACTCTCATTCCCTTCCACTCTCACTCCCTTCCCACTCTCATTCCCTTCCCACTCTCACTCCCTTCCCACTCTCATTCCCTTCCCACTCTCATTCCCTTCCCACTCTCATTCCCTTCCCACTCTCACTCCCTTCCCACTCTCATTCCCTTCCCACTCTCACTCCCTTCCCACTCTCATTCCCTTCCCACTCTCATTCCCTTCCCACTCTCATTCCCTTCCCACTCTCATTCCCTTCCCACTCACATTCCCTTTCCTGTCCCCTTTCACTTGTCTACTAGCAGCACTGTGCCATGCGGCCATGCCATGACCCCACTTCCCCACCCATACCAGCTCCCCATCACCCATACCCAGCCCCCCATCACCCATACCCGCCTCCCATCACCCATCCTCCCCCGCTCACCCATGCCATCGTCTGCCAGCTCAGCAGGCGCATCGTCGTCGTCAAAGTCAGCCGACAGGACGTCCTCGTCTGATGCGCGCACGGGGCAGCCGTGCCGGTGGTGGGGGGAGGGGGCGGAAGGAAAATGAGGGCAAGGGGCGAATGAGGAGGGAGGGAGGGGCACCGGAGTGGGTGGGACGGGAGGATGGAAGGGAAGGGGAACGGCATGAGAACTGAGCGAAGACAAGCTTGACTGCCCACGCTTCGTCAACCAGGCTTGGATGCGAGTGGGAGAGCTCAAGAAGCAGCAGGCGCAGGGAGCAGGCAGCAAGGTACGTGATTGCACGGCTGCTCCCTCCCCCTAGACCAATGCCTGCCTGCCACCCGCCCCGTGGGCCCCTAAAGCCCCTGCTAACCCCTCAACCCCCTCCCCTCATCCCCACCGCCAACCCTGCCCGATGCTGCATCATCCGTCCTCAGCCCTCCTTAACCCTTCCGCCTCCGCAACCTGCCCACCTCCGGAGTCGATTTCAACCAGCTCCTCGTCCCCCTCCCCCATCTCCGCGAATTCCTCCTCCCCTTCCCCCTCCCGCTCTCCCCCGCGCATGCCGTTGGGCGGACGCGACTGCACAGGGGTTGGAGGGGCCAGGGAAAGGGGTGATGGGGGACGGGATGGGGGGAGCAGGGCGCGTGGCGGAGGGGCGGACAGTTGGCATGAGCGAGCGGGTGAGTGAAGGCGGCTTCTGGCGAACGAGAATGAGCGAGGGAGTCAACAGGAGGCACGCATAAAGGGATACAATTGAAACGGCAGCGGTAAAGAGCGACGCGGCGCGCAGCAGCGGGCGCGGCGGCTGGTTCGGGCGCCACGGCGGTGAAAGCGGATTGGGGCGAGGCGACGCAACGTGCGGGGACGCAACGTGGCGTGACGCGACGTGATGCGTGCGACGGACCATGCGCAGCGGGTGTGGTGCGGCTGCCGGCGACGAGCGCGTGGGGGCGCGAGAAAGGGGACGATTGAACCGATGCCCTCCGCGGTTTCCCCAGGGATGGCGCGGGGCCGAGAGCGGCGGGGAATATGCAGTGATGGTGCACGGCGCGAGGTCGACGTCACGTCACGACGCACGCAGGATGGGCTGACGTCACGGCGGTGCGAGAGGGGCAGTGAGTAGACAGCAGAAGAGCTAATTGCAGTCGTGGGTTCCCAACAGCGCCTCATCAATACTCCAAGTGAACCCCCAAGTGCTCAATAATCCGTGCAAGGCGTGTTTGATACATTCCCGGAAACTTTTCTGAACCAAGTGTTGTATTTATATTTTGATATTTCATACAGGTTCGAGATAAAAGCCCTGGGAATCAGTTGGTTTGCTGACACTCCCAGCAAGCTCGGCTGGAGCAGCTTTCCTTGAAACAAGCCCTCGATCCAATCTAACCCCGCCCATAAACCCTTTTGTGGAGTGGAGACCATTTGTTCACCAACTTCATCTCATCATCTATGCTTCGCGCGGCAGCCGTCACGCAGCGCACCGGTTCGTCCCGATTGTAGTCCCACCGTTGCCCCGCCGCTCACCATCGTCGGCGCCTTTCTTCACTCGCGCGCCGCACCTTCGCCGCCACCGAGGTCCCCATCTATCCGCCGCTTGAAAAAAGGAGTGTTTTGAGACGTCTCAAAACACCTTCGCCGCCACCGAGGTCCCCATCTATCCGCCGCTTGAAAAAAGGAGTGTTTTGAGACGTCTCAAAACACCTTCGCCGCCACCGAGGTCCCCATCTATCCGCCGCTCCTCCCCCCCGTCGTTTCCCCCCGACGCTCCGCCATGGTGGTGCGCGAGGCGCCCCCGCTGGAGCAGGTGCAGCGGCTCGGCGCGCAGCTGCTGCAGTCGCGGGAGCACGTCAACAACGTCGTCGCGCTGCTGCGGTTCGCGGCGCATCGCGACGGCGCGGTGGCGGCGGAGGCGGTGACGGTGCTGCAGGCGTTCTTCGCGCAGCTGCTGCGCTCGCACGAGCTGCTCCTCCACCCCGCCCCCGGTATGTCCCTTGCGCCCCGCTCCGCATAATCCCCGCCCTCCAGTATAATCCCTGAACCCTCATAAACCCCGTCCCTACCGTCTCCCCGTGAAAGCCACTCTCTCCCCCGTCATGTTGCGGAATTCCGCCATTGCGCGCCGTTGCCTGGCCGGACGGCACGCAAGGGGCTCTGCCAGCAGCCTCACTTCCAGTGCCGCCGCGCCAGCCTTCCCCGCCTCTCACGCGCCCCTCCTATCCCCCTCCTCCCCCACCACAACCCCCCCCTTTCCCCCCCACTCCCCGTCCTCCCCCCTCCTCCCCGTCCTCCCCCCTCCCCCATTTCCCTTCGTGCAACGTGGCAGCCAACCGTGCGGGCGGTGCGAGCGGGCGGGCGGGGGAGGAGCGGGCGAAAGAGGAGGTGTATCAGCAGTGGGCGCGCGCGCGGTATGGCGAGTACACGGGCGCGCTCAAGGCGCGCCTCAGATCCGCGGAGAGCAGCGCCGCCAGCAAGGTGGGGGGGGGGGGGGACATGGTGGTCGGGAGGATGCGTTGAGGAGGGGGCGGGCATGGAATGGAAGCAGATACGCGCGAGGGACGTGATGTTGGGGGCACATTGCGGAAGGGATGGTGGGGGAGTGGAGGGTGACGAGGGAGTCGAGGGTGGTGCATACAGCAGCATGGCGGGAGGAAGGCGGAGAGGGGAAAGGGCGTGGCGATGGGTAGTGAGTGCGGTCTGGGGGGTCGAATGCACGTGCCATGCCATGCACTCTATTGCGTGCGGGTTGCACTGCATGTCCACGGTCCACCCTACCCTTCTTCCTCCCCTCTACCCCCTCCCCCACCGCTCCTCCATCAGCGCATAGCAGTGGAGCATCTGATGGAGCTGGCTCGTTTGGAAAAGAAGGGCGGCCTGGCTGGCGCCACCATCAATAAAATACTCATCCCGCTGGTGAGCCGTGCCATCCCGCTGGTGAGCCGTGCCATCCCGCTGGTGAGCCGTGCCATCCCGCTGGTGAGCCGTGCCATCCCCCATGGTGAGCCGTGCCATGCCCCATGGTGAGCCGTGCCATGCCCCATGGTGAGCCGTGCCATGCCCATTCAAACCAACCGCTCTTCCCTGACCGTCAGTGCCAATCGTCTCCTCTCCCATTTCCCCAACTCTCCACTTGCCCCTCTCCCCGTCTCCTCCTCTCCCCCCCTTTCAGGTGGAGGGCGAGGCGGGCGACCCCTCAGTGCTCGCCAAGTTCGCCTGCTTCTTCACCCATGCTGACGTCAGGTGGGTGCGTGTTTCGCTGCGGTACACATGGCATGCTGTTGTGCCGCTGCTCATGCGTGCCGTCCCCATCACCACCACCAATCGCACCCACCATCACTGTCCTTCACCGCCCCTCTCACCCCCACACCCGCGCTCCCACACCACTTGGTGGCAGGCGGCATGTGTACGGGGCAGTGGAGCAGTTGTGTGCGACCATGGCTGCTGCTGCCGTCAATCACTCGAACGTGGCTCAGGATGGAGCGCATGCAGGTACTTACGCCAGCTGCACGGCACTGTGTTGGGTTGGACCACCACCTGCCTGCACACACACCACATTCCATGCCCCTCTCTCTCCCCCCGTGAATCGAATTATATGCATGCTTCAATCCAAGCCATTGCTGCCCGTTTTCTCAATACAATCCCTCCCGATTGTTTGTCTTTCTGCCTCCCTGTGTCATCGCTCATTCCCATTTCCGTCTCTGTGCGTCCGCCACCACACCCACCTGTGCCTGATCTGATCCCACACGCCACGTGCTGCTCGCGTGATCCTGCCTTGTGGTGTGCCCGCCTGCCGACCCGCCACCGTGCATCCACGAGCGCCCTCAGCTGCCGCCAAGAGAGTGAGTGGTTGTCCGCCTGCCCACACCCCACCCGATCCGCCCATGTGCTTCCCTGTATCACGTACCACACCACCAGCGCCTCCACTCACAGTGCGTGCATCCCCATTGGCTGCGCCTCACACCTGCTGCTGTGCTGCGATCTACTCTTCTCACCTATCCTGTCTTCTCCCCAATACTAACCACTCCCTCCACGCACCAATCACAGGACGCCATGTGTCTCAACATACTGGACGTGCTGCTAGCCATGCCCATGCCGCCTGCCCCCAAGGCGGGCGGCAAGAGGCTGCTGGCGGAGGTGGGGCAGGGCGGGGGCGAGCAGGACGAGTTGCTCTCCACGTGGGCGCTGCCTGCACCCCCCTCTGGTGCGTGCTGCCTTCCTTGGGTTGCGTCCCCACCGTTCCTTCTTCCCCGCACTTGCCGTTCTCGCTTCTCTCTCACTTGCCGTTCTCTCTTCTCTCTCGCTTGCCGTTCTCGCTTCTCTCTCACTTGCCGTTCTCGCTTCTCTCTCACTTGCCGTTCTCGCTTCTCTCTCACTTGCCGTTCTCGCTTCTCGCTCACTTGCGCTCATCTCCCTGCCCACCACCCCCTCACTGCCGCTCTGCCTTGCGCTCGTCTCTTCCCCAACCCCTGTGGAGCGCAGGGGGAGCGCAGCAGCGGGGGGGCAAGCAGAGTGTGGGTGGCAAGCGAGGGAGACAGGCAGGGCAGCAGCGCAGCAGGAAACGGGCTGCGGGGATGAAAGACGAGGGGGGGAGGGAGGAAGAGGGGGAGCAGGGGGAGGGGGAGGCGGAGGAGAGGTGGGCAGTGGTGGTGGGGGAGGAGCGCAAGGCACTGGCAGGGGCGTGGCTGGGGCTGCTCGCCCTGCCTCTGCCCCTCGAAGCCTACAAGAAGGTCGGTACCCCCGCCTCCTCGTCACACCCCGCACCCCTTCTGCCCCAACGTCTCCACCTCCCCTCCTCCCCCCCCCGCCCCCCCCCTCCCTCTTCCACACATGCTACAATGAAACCTTGAACCTGTCTGGCATCTTCCGTTTCTCAACATTGACTTCTCGCCTGGCCCATCCCTTGGCGCGCCGTCCACCATGCTACAGGTGCTGGGTCGACTGCACAACCTCATCCCACATCTGCCCAATCCCTTGCTGCTCAGGTGCACTCCTGCCCTCCCCCCACCCCTCTCACCTCTCACCTCGTCCAATGCATGTCTGAAGTGTCTCGTCCACTTTCTCCCCTGTGCGCCAATGATACTCCCTCGCCATATGCTCTTCTTGTACTATCCCCACCACCTGCCCACTCAATGGTATATTCTCATCCCATTGGCGCCATGTGCTGTGGTGACTCCTCACACGCCCCACCACCTCACACGCCCCACTGCACCCCTGTCCCTCGTCGTCTCTGTGGTCACCCATCCCACCTCTCAGCGACTTCCTCACAGCATCGTACGAGCAGGGAGGGGCGTGTGCGGTGGCAGCACTGGCGTCGCTGTTCCGGCTGGTGACGGAGCACGGCTTGGAGGCGCCGCACTTCTACCCGCGCCTCTATCGCCTGCTCGACTCCTCCGTCTTCCGCGCCACCCACCGCGCCAAGTTCTTTGAGGTGCCACGCTGTGCTGTGCCTTGCCATGCCACATGCCACCAGATGCCATGCCATGATGGTAACCACCTCCATGGCATCGCGGGCATTTATTGCCACATACCACGTTTTTCTCCGCGGTGCAACCGCATAAGCCATGCACACTGTCCCCCTCTCTCCTCCGCTCCCCCAACAACGCCCCCTTCACTCCCAGCTGCTGGATTTGAGTCTGGCATCACCTCTGCTCCCGGCGTACATGGCAGCAGCCTTCACGAAGCAGCTCTTCCGTCTGTCGCTCTGTGCACCCCCCTCGGGCGCCATAGTGGTCGTGGCGCTCGCCCACAACCTGCTGCGCCGCCACCCCGCCATCGCCCCCCTCGTGCACCGCGCTGCCACCCCTGACACATTCCAGGTGAGGCGCTACACACACTCCAGGTGAGGCGGGGCTGTCTGGGCATGGGCGGCAGTAGGGGTGCAGGTTGAGGCCATGGGATGGGACCACCTTCTCCTTGCCTCCGGGCTGGCTGCCGTTTCCCCTTGCCCCACAGTAGCTCCTGCTGCTGCTGCTGCTGTGGAATGTGCACAGTGCCCAGGCATTTCAACCTCGTTCTCTTTTCAGAGTACCATCATGTGATGTGGTTGTTGCGCCTTGACTCCACAACGCTCTTGTGCGTGTGTGGTGTGGTGTGGTGTGGTGTGGTGTGGTGTGGTGTGGTGTGGTGTGGTGTGAACATTGCAGGACAGCAGCAGTGACGAGGAGGATGAAGGGGAAGACAAGCAAAGCACGCAGCGAGGGCAGGACGGGCAGGCCCAGCAGGAAGGGGATAACAAGGAAGGGGAGAAGGCGGGGAATGGCAAAGGCGAGGAGAGCAATGCTGATGGAGAGGAGGGTTCAGCTGGAGAGGAGGGAAGGGGGAGAAAAGACGGCCAAGGGAAAGGAGGAGGGAGTGGAGAGAGCGCAGCAGGAGCAGGGGAGGAGGGAGGCAGAGAGGGGAGGGCGACAGGGAGGGATCCATTTGATGAGGATGCTACCGACCTCATGGCTGCCCGCGCCCTTGGTACGCTCAAAACCATTACATTAGGTGATAGATTGTGAGCATCGGGTCCTTGCACGACACGCACACACGAGTAGCAGAAGCTTGCACACACACTCCCTTGACTTCCCCGCTCTTGTGTCTGTGCGTGCCCGCCCTCACCCCCACCTCACAGACAGCAGCCTGTGGGAGGTGGAGGCACTGCAGCGCCACTACTGCCCCGCTGTCTCACGGTACTCTCCCCCAAACTCCTGCTGCTTTCAAACCCCCTCTTCCTTGAAAACCAATGCGTTCTTTCCCTTCTCCACCCTACCTGGGCTTGAGCGCCCGCATCCTTTGGTCGTGCTCACCTCACCACCACCTCCATTCCTCTTCAGCACATGGCCTTCCTTCCCTTGTCTCGCCTCTCTTTCTCCGCCCACCCCCCCCCCCCTTCCGCCTTCTTCCGTGGGAGCAGGTTCGTGGCGTCACTGGAGAAGGACCTGTCGGAGCGCAGCAGCACGGTGGAGCTCAACGTCGCTGACTTCTCCGCCACCTCCTACGGCACCATCATGGCCGACGAGGTGCGTGCCGTGCCCTGCCGTGCAGGTTAGTGCATTGCAGCGCAGCACAGCGCAGTAGAGTGCAGTGCGGTGGGCAGTGTGCCGTGCATGGTGCTGCACAGAGGCAGAGCTGCATTTATTGGTGTCACGGGGCAGAGAAGGCTAGGTGCAGAGCCCCTGATCAAGTTTCCTTTTTTCTTCAAGCCAACGTGCAGTCATCTTGGTTGGGGAAAGCTTTTTGAACAGTTTGCCAGTGCATTTTTCCCCTGCAAGTTTTTGTCAACCCGGCTCACAATTTGCAACGCAATCCATGCTACACACCCATAAGCTGTCGTGCTGAATGTGTTCGCTTGCTGTGATTTGTCTTCGACCCCTATCCTTTCCTCCACCCACCAGTTGGGGCGGCGAGTGAAGGCGGTGCCGCTGGCCTTCTTTGAGCGCACACCAACCACCCTCTTCCCCACCTCCTCATCCTCATCGTCTGCATCTGCCATTCCACAATTTGGTAGTTTCCCTGGGTGGAAGTTGTTTTAAGGTGGCAGCTAATACCACGCAAACGCCGATGTTCGACATCTCTGCTTGAAATGCTGCTACCTCCGTGTGCAAATACCATTTAGTCTTGAAATGTACGGGACCCTCTCCCAAAGTCTGATAATAATATTATGCCTAAGCATTTTCAGATGCGGATTTGGTTGGATGGATACGAGCTACACAAGAGAGAGAGGGTATGAATACTAATTGAGTGAGAAACATTTTGGTGAGGGAAGCAGCTCCTCAGCTGTTGCAACACACTCCCTTGCCTTGCCTGTCGAGGTGTGACTTCAGGTAGAAACCATTCAGTTTGGATTGTGTTGTTTGTTGCTATTATTTAAAATAAGCCTTACACCAATGATGCAACTGTACAACACGGTTAGATCAAGGGGACAGTCAAGCACAGCTGCCAACGAGGGACACTTCAGAATTACACCGCTGGACTCAGCTCTACACGTGCCCTTACACGTCAGATCGTAGCAAGCTGTGCTGGTAGAAAGCAGTCCACATCATTTTTCAGGCGGGAAATTCATCGAGTCCTTATCGTGCGGTGATTGCAGCTACGGAATGCGTAATTTTCTTCGTAAATCTTGATCGTACGAGCTCTTACCGACACCACCTTTTCTTGATTTCAACGGTGGTAGTGGATTGCGGAAGCAAAAACCGTCCACTCCAATCACCGACACACACCAGCTGGCAAGAGTCGCTGAAATGTGTGTTGGTGGTGTTTGGGTGACGGGTTTGCTGCTTGGGTGTTTCGGTGGTGTGGGTTTCATGTGTGTCTTGGTGGTGTTTGGGTGACCGGTTTACATCGCGAGCAAAATAAAGATTTTCTCTCTAAATACTGTACGACACTTTCCGCATCTGACACTTAGGATACAGCAGGCTGTGTTGCAGCCGTACCGAGACCTGGTGTTTAACCCTAAACATCAATGAAGTTGGGCAGCCCGTCGGAAACAACGCAGTTGCCCGCGTCCTTTGAGCGTTGAACTGCACGACGGGTAGAGAAGGCGCGCCGCATCTGACAGCGAGATTCATCAACCCCTCTCTCCTCTGCCAACAGCGAGTTCTCCTCGACTAGTCATGTACTACAGTACATAGGAACCACACCGGAACAGGATACAATCAACCAGACTCATTTCTTTGCTCTCTTATCACCAGACCAAGCTCAACGAAGCACTAACTTTGTCTGCAACGCAGCCCTCTTGACGCTTGTGCTCACCGCTGTCTTTTCGTTGGTCCCCTTGACAACTATCTAGTGACTTCCTGCCCTCCGCGACTAATCGACACTTCTGACAGCCAAACTTCGCGACGCGATGGCCCAATCGCTAGTCCTACGGCACGCCATCTCAGCCGTCCTCGCGTCCTCGCCCTCCACTTCGCAAAGACAACGCCCCGCCGCTAACCGTGCTCGTACGGGTCTGAGCGCGTCGATAGGCGACTTCAGCGCGGCGCCCATCCCCGAGTCGCAGGTGGTGCCACGGCTGTGCCACTTGGAGGACTTTCACGAGTCGTCGACGGGCGAGGCGGCCGTGCGGCCCGTGGCGCTGGCGGTGCGCGTGGTGGAGGACGGGCACGGCAAGCAGCTGGCGGACCTGCTCATGGCCACCGTCGAGGCGTCCGCGCAGGTCGAGGACCTCGAGACCGTCGCCGGCCGGGCCGCCATGGTGAGTCGAATCAGCGCGACGCGCATCCTGCTTTCTGAAAATTTGAGGCTTTTGGTCGCAGGGGAATGTTCCTCTGTGCATTGCACTCAGCGCCCGGCTTCCTCCGCGGTCGCCTCCCCTCCCCCCTTCCCCTCCCCGCCACAGGTGGCGCTGGCGCTGGCGCTGCTGGTAGAGTTTGCGACGGGCAACGGCATCTTCAGCGCCGTCGACCGCAGCGCGCTGCTCCCCGCGCTCTCGCTGGGCGTCGGCGCAGCCGCGGTGTCGGCGGGGTACGCCGTGGCGTGGCGGTCGAAGCGACACGTGTCGGACATCCTGGCGCGCGGGTGCTTGCACTGGCTGGACGCCGCCGTCGACCACCTCATCGACGGCGTCTTCGACGCGCGCCCCACCGCGCACCAAGCGCCGCCGCAGCGGGACTAGGCAATTCAAGAGCCGCATGGAGCGAGTATGGATGGGCCTGCAAGTTCGACTAATTCCGTGCGCGTGAGTTGAGAGCCAGCGCATGCTGACGTAACCATGAAAGGACGAATTGGCGAATCACACGGACGCGGGAGGACAGGATAGTAGCAGACGCGTGGTCTCGAGGGAAGGAATTCGCGTGGGGGTGGTGAATGGTAGTGTGTGCGCTGAAGTTACTCGGTTGTGCTCGGTTGTGTGCAGTGCTTCGTGTTGTTGATGCTGAGTGGAAAGCGGGGGGAAACTGCAGGGTGTGGCGGGGCGACGTGCTTGTGTGAGCCTGATGCAGCAGCTGGAGTGTGTGTGCCAGCGTTACCGGATGCTGAGCTCGTCGCACCAGGTCACATACGCGTGGGCAGTCATCACTGGCTGTTGCCTCCCAAGCGACATGCAGAGAAACGGCATAGCGGCAGCGGGAGGGCCTAGTATGGCCAGAGGCAGAGGCGGACAGCGAGACGAGCTCGGGAGAAGGAGCTGACGTGTGACAGCTGCGGCCATTGGCGACAGCTGACACACTGTTGCTGCCTGCTCGTCTTTGGTGCCTTTGGGCTGGCTGTGAGCTTACTGCGGCATGAGGGGGCAAGTGTGAACTTGGCTAGTGGGCTTTCTGTTCTTCCTGCTACTAGGCTTGCTTCGGCCTCCTGCTGTTACCCGGTAGCCACATGGAGTCAGCGCATGCTGCTGAATTGTTGCTGTGGCGTTGGCAGGTCTTCCACCCACTGCTGCTTTTAGAGAGCTGTGGATTGGCAAGTGCCCCACCATTCTTTGGGCTATGTCCCCACAAAGCCTTTCAACTTTGTGCCTCTTTGTATAAAGTGATATCGTTTTATGGTTTACGGTAGTAAAATTTTAAGCTGAGCCAGCTTTGCACTGCTCCTCTTAGCCAACTCTAGTTTACATCTGCCAAAAGCAGCTTTGATGTCAGGGAGATAGAGCTGTCATGGTTGTCTACATACAGGCAACAGGACCCACTCATCAAAACGTCCAGCGCTAAATAATGAACAGGAATACTGTATAGCCTAGGATGATGGGCACTTGAACTGTGCACCCATCTCATTTGGGACGTTTTCGTGGCGAGGCGATGTTGATTGGTTTATCTGGATAGTACGGTAGTACCGTAATACTGAGTCATACCAGGTGCTCAGCCAGTGATGTCAGCAGGCACACCCTTGCCCCGCCTGCTGCTCACACCTCGCCGTGTCACACTCCCGTAAACAGCAGATCCGCCCACCGCTGTGCTGCTGCCATCGTCACACACCCCACCCTCACCCCCTTTAATGGGCGTGCTGCAGCCCAGCAGCACCGACCCATCACCGCTGCCCCCCACCTCCACAGCGGCCGCGACGGACGACGGGCGAGACCAGCTGCGAGTGGAGGGCAGGTCGATGCCCGCGCTCAGGCTGCCACTGGGGTCGCGGCGCAGAGGGGAGCGCGTGAGGCCCCCAGCAACAGCAGAGGCGTTGAGCAGGCCGGCATTTTCGAAGGTGGAGAAGCTGGTGGACTTGTGGAAGCGCCACAGCAGATCCTCCACCACTCTCCCCCCCCCACCTCGCTGCCGCCCCCAGATTCGCCGCTGCTGTGCGCGACCCTGCCCCCTCATGCCCACCCCGCACGAACAGCCCCGGCCCTGATGACGACATGAGCCCCCACACTCCCAGTCCCCCGTCCCCGCCTGCTCTACTCCCGCTTGCTGATTGCTCCGTCCGCCGTCGTCTAGACGCCCCAACCCCTCTGCCTCCCACCTCCTCCTCCCCACTCGCCCACCCCCCTTCCCCCTCGCTACCATATCCCCCTCGCCAAGTGCTGGTTCCCCCACCTCCCTCCTGCACGCCCAAGCCCCACCCAAACTCCTGTGCGCTGGTCTGTCTGGCTTCCCCAGTCCACGTGCTTCTACCAGCGCCTCTGCCCTGGGCGCCGGAGTAGAACCCCCCCACCCCTCCGCCCAGCCACGACAGGCGCCGCCCGCCCTCGTCACCCTCGCCCTCGGACAGGGACGTGCCGCGCTGGCAGGGGGGAGAGGGCTCCTCGCCCTCGGACGACACGTACTGCTCCGCCTCGCGCATCTGCACGAAGAAGAACGTCGACGCGCGCGCCCGCCCCGCCGCCTCTGCCGCCGCCAGATTGCGGCTGTGCGCCTCTGCGTGCTCCGCGGCTGCCTGCGCCGACACCAGCTGCAGGATGGCCTCCGACAGCGACCCCGCGCCGCCCCCGCTGCCGCTTCCACTGGCCATGGCGGCGCTGGTGGTGGCTGCTGGCGACGAGCTGCCCGTGCCGTGCTGCTCTGTGCGCTGCTGGCTGCTCCCCGCGTGACTGGAACTGCGAGAGGGAGGGTTGACGAGGGTGGCAAGATGGGGGCGCAGGGAGGGGGGTGCCATAACGAGAGGGACAGCACGAGACAGTGAGAGAGGTAACGTGGAAAGAGAGGGGGGGTGGAGGGGAGGAGAGGGGAGGGGAGGGGAGGGGAGGGGAGGGGAGGGGAGGGGAGGGGAGGGGAGGGGAGGGGAGGGGAGGGGAGGGAGGGTCCATCCAATTCAAATGAACAATGGTGCCTCCCGCGTGAAGGGGTGAGGGTAGAGGGGGAAGCAGGTGAGAGAGAGGGGGAAGGGTCAGGAGCAAGAGGGGAGGGGAGGGGAGCAGCGGTGGTGGCGGGGAGGGGATCACAGCTTGGCCCTTGCAATGATGAGGGTTGAGCATGGAGACGAGTGAAAGCAGGAGCAACCGGAGCTTGATCACGTGGGTGGGTTGCAATCCGCAAACAGCACGCGCAGGGCGACGCTGACCTGGCACGGTTGCACGAGGTGGGGGAGAGCAGCGGAGGCGAGGCGGAGAGCGAGGCGGAGAGCGGAACGCGGATGAACTTCATGGCGAACATCTGCGAGTCCGTCGAAATGCGGTTCGCCTTCTTTATGTCCGCCACCTGCTCGCCGCACACCGCGCACGGTGCGCAGCGCATGAGTGAGGCGGGATGGAAACACGATGCATACATGGAATGGTTCAATTCGATGCAGGAGATAGACGTGCGCTTGGGAAGGGTCGGCGGGAAGGAGAGTGACGAGGTGCACACGAGGAGGGCATGCTAGACGGCGGGAGGGCGAGAGAGGAAGAATCTTGCACAGAGTGAAGCGAGGATGCTGTCACGCACTGGCTGCGTGCTCATGTGGCGGGTCGGTGTTCGGGCGACAGCAGCGGAGAGAACTTTCTACAGACACAGATATTGCACGAGTAGAACCTTGTACAGCGAGACGCGAGACACACAGATTATCGGGCTGACAGCAGCGGAGAGCGATGCTGTAGTTCCGCGCAGAAAGGCGGAGGTAAGAGGGAAGCACACAAGACACGGCAGTAATGACGAGAATATCTAGGTGGGGCACGAAGAGAGCTGGGCTCGGGTGGGCGCACCTGGGCGCCATAGCGGATGGCGATGCCGGCCAGGGTGTCGAAGCGCGTCACCTCGTGCAGCACGCACTGCTGCCCGCCATCCCACCGCGCGGGGGGAGACACGCTCGGCGCCAAGGGAGAACCGCTGCCCAAGGACATCCGCACGACGACCGTCTGACGACCGGGATCTTCACTGTGAAGTACATACGTCGCTTCAGTTCAACGTTTACGCACCGTATATCACGCTAGGCATGAACATGTAGTCCTGCGTTTGGACATCCCTCAACCTCTGAAACCTTATCCGAGTTCCAATGAAAGAGTGCTGGTGGGGTGGCTAAGTTCGATCTCACTACTGAATGTGGAAAAGTCTAGGGAGGGTGGTGCGGTGGAGCGGGGAGTAGGTATGCGAGTGGCGGGAACGGTCATTTTGCTTCAAGCAGCGAAGAACCCCAAAGCAAACCGTTGGGGCAGAGCTGTTGGTCGGGGAAGTCTGAATGTAAGGAATTTTCCTGAATTCCTTATCGGGGTTGACTGCTTCGCGTACAACCCGATTTTCGGAGTTCGCACGTTCGGCCGATTTCAACGCTGCCGAGGCTCCTCGCGTCGCCTTCGGCATGTCTATCGCCAAACCTGCACCCAACCTCATTTCCCGAGGTTCCCTCCTAGGCAGGCTAGCCCTACATTAGTCTGTGCATTCATTGTACTCGCAGTTCATTCAGTCACAGCCTCGTTATTCGTTTACCTGCGCACTCTCCTTTACAACTCATAACACCTGGTATCAGAGCTACTTTCCTAGTTCACCCCGCTTTTCCGAGGGTAGTTTGGTGGCATAGGGTGTGGTTGGTTTAGTGACTACACGACGGTTGGCTGCAGGGATTGTTAATTCAATCCTGCCCGACTCCAATAGTTCGTGTTTTCACTTGCCTGAAGGCCACGGAGACCCGACTGCCCACCAGACGTAGTGCTAGGCATATGGATCAGGAGGCTGTTAACCGGATAATGGCGCAAGTGGCAGAAATGCAGGAGAGCATGAAGACATTAATGGCGGAAGTGACAACACTACGAGAGGAAAACGCCGAGCTACGCCAGACGCGAGGTGAAGCGCGTCAGGAGTCGCCTGTGGACGAAGGCGAGGGCAACAGTCAGGCGATGAGCAACCCGCTGGATGCTCTCACACGTGACTTCGAAGAAGAAGATAGGCAGCGAGCGGCAGCAGCGCCAGTTGCAGTTACGACGATCAAGATCAAACCTGTCAACCCGCCCCCGTTTAATCCTACGGACAAGACGACTACAGTGAAAGGGTGGCTGTTCGGTGTTGAGGTCTTCTTAACGGCAGCATGCGTTAACGACGATGCCACGCGTATTAATTACGCGGTTTCACTTCTTCGGGGCGCGGCGCTTGAATGGTGGCGCCGAACCTTAGAAACAGGGACTTCGACAGGTGTGACACATGCGGCAGACGGGACTACAGTGGTTAATCAAGTGGCAGAACCGATCTTCGGTGTGACCAAGATACGCACATGGAAGGAGTGGGGCGCAGCCTTACGAGATCGCTTCGAGCACGCATCCGCCTCGGAGCAAGCTCGCATGAAGCTGCGTGCATGGTCGCAGATGGCTTCTGTCCAAGACTACACGGCGTCATTTATGGGCTTCGCCGACCAGATCGATGACATGTCAGAAGCAGAGCGGTTGGATAAATACGTCAGCGGCCTTAAATATGAAATACAGTTTGAGGTCCGTCGAAGCCGCCCGACATCGTTCCTCGAAGCAGTACGTGTGGCGGAGTCAACTGATGCGCTGATGCAGTACGCGAGAGCAGCTTCCAGGGATGGGAGAAGCTTTCGTGGCCAGACCCATCGGGCCACGATCAACGCCGTCCATACACCCGACCGCCCTCCTAAGGGTCCGTGTTTTCGGTGTGGGAAGGTGGGTCACTACAGGAACGAATGCCAGGAGAAAATGCCGCTGACAGGGGACGACAGGAAGGAGCAGGGAAATGGGAAGAGTCAGTAATTAGCGGGCCCTTTACTGACTGTGCTCCGTCGCCCGAACACCATCATCCCCACCGAGTCGTGGTTCCGATTTATGCACTCGATCGCACTCGGCCGAATAACGGGGATAATCATGTGGATCACCCTGTGTTGGTCGCTGACAAGGTGTTAAAAAATCATCTGAAAATGTTCGTTGATGGGGGGGCCAGCCATAGCCTCTTCAACTTGGCGAGCGCAAAAAAATGCAAGCTGCAACTCGACAGGTGTCTGCCCGAAATTGACGCCCGCCTCGTGGATGGGACGCCTCTGGCGATAACGGAAGAAACACGGACGGTCAGGATCGACAGCGGCGACGACTTCGGCTTCAGCATGAAGTTTCTCGCGACAACATTGGACGGCTGCAACATACTGCTGGGACGTGATTGGCTGCGACGACACAACCCCGTTATCGACTGGACGACGGGATCGTGTAGCATCAGCAAGCACGAGGGGTTAATAAAATTACCTGCATGGACCCTTGACTACATCCAAGCGCCGTGCGTCAAAGCTATCACTATAGCTCGCCACTTCAACAAGGGCGCGCAGCTGTTCGCTGTTTGCTTACGCGAGTTGGCACTCGACACCGAGGGAAAGGACATCGAGAAGCTGTGTGCAGCAGTACCACCGGATTTAGCGGAGCTGATTCGGAGGTACCCGGACATCTTTCCCGACGACCTGCCACCTGGACTGCCACCCGAGAGACCTGAGGACCACAAAATCCAGCTGGAACCTGGAGCGCAGCCGACTGTTCGGACACAATGGCGGTTGACCCAGCCGGAACTCGAGGAGCTGCGAAGTCAAATTGATGCACTGTTGGAGAAGGGATTTATTCGGGCCAGCACATCTCCCTTTGCAGCACCGATTCTGTTCACTCCAAAGAAGGATGGCGGGCTTCGCATGTGTATCGACTATTGCGCGCTGAACCGGGTCACCATCAAATCTCGCTACCCAATCCCACGTACCGACGACCTCCTCGACCAACTTCTCGGCGTTCGCTATTTCTCGAAGATTGATTTACGTGGCGGTTACCACCAGATCCGAGTCTTCGCCGACGACTGTCACAAGACTGCGTTTTGTCAGAACTTTGTAGCTTATGCTGTTGTGTAGGCTATAGTGGGGTATCCCATAGGGGGTACAACCCAATTAGGGTTTCCTATTTGTACTCACTTCATTCATAGTTCATTCATTCTCGTTTCAATTCTCACATGGTATCGAGCAGGTTCCCTTGTGGGAACTGTTCCTAGGGCCCACCGTCTTTTTTTTTCCTGTCCGGAGCGCACTCTGCCCCTGCCCGAGTCGCGCTCCCCTCTCTCTCGGCCCCTAGTGGCCCCTTTAGCCGCCCGTCCCGGCCCCTCGACGCCCGCGCGCCGCCCGTCCCGGCCCCTAGACGCCCGCGCGCCGCCCGTCCCGGCCCTTAGACGCCCGCGCGCCGCCCGTCCCGGCCCCTAGACGCCCGCGCGCCGCCCGTCCCGGCCCCTAGACGCCCGCGCGCCGCCCGTCCCGGCCCCTAGACGCCCGCGCGCCGCCCGTCCCGGCCCTTAGACGCCCGCGCGCCGCCCGTCCCGACCCCTAGACGCCCGCGCGCCGCCCGTCCCGGCCCTTAGGCGCCCGCGCGCCGCCCGTCCCGGCCCCTAGACGCCCGCGCGCCGCTCGTCCCGGCCCCTTAGACGCCCGTGCGCCGCCCGTCCCGGCCCCGCGCCGCCGTCCCGGCCCCACGCCGCCCGTGCGCCGCCCGTCCCGGCCCCACGCCGCCTGTGCGCCGCCCTTCCTGGCCGCGCGCCGCTGCTCCGGCCCCTCGACGCCCGTGCGCCACCCGTCCCGGCCCCACGCCGCCTGTGCGCCGCCCGTCCCGGCCGCACGCCGCTGCCCCGGCCCGTCGACGCCAGTGCGCCGCCAGTCCCGGCCCCACGCCGCCCGTGCGCCGCCCGTCCCGGCCGCGCACTGCCGTCCCGGCCCACAAGCCGCCTGTGCGCTGCCCGTCCCGGCCCTGCGCCGCCGTCCCGGCCCCACGCCGCCCGTCGCCGCCCGTGCGGCATTCGCCCCGGCCCCAAGCCGCCGAGCGGCCCAGCAGCCGAGCCGCAGAGCAGCCGAGCCGCCGAACAGCCCACCAGCCGAGCCGCCGAGCGTTCGAAACGCCCTTCTTCCGAGCCGCCCGACCTGCACAGTCCGGTGAGCACAGCCCCTTTTATCACTGCACTGCCCCCCCACCCTACTGCTTGCACTACTGCTCGTCTGGGGTCATGGCTACTCCTAGTGTCCTCGCCTTTGACGCTGAGGGTAGGGCCATTGACTTTGAGGTCTGGCTAGATGACCTGCAGCTGTTCTTACAGTGCGATAGGGCAGACAGTCTCTCTCTCTTTGACCTCACCTCTGGCACTGCCCCTGCCCCTGCTGCTGATGCTGACGCCACTGTTCGCTACCAGTGGGCCACGCGCGATGCTGCTGCACGTCTTGCTGTGCGTCGCCACCTCCCTACCTCTGAGCGTGCGCACTTTAGTCAGTACAAGAGTGCTCAGACCTTGTACGACGCTGTAGTTGCGCGCTACTCCTCCCCTGCCACTGCTGCACTGAGCCGTCTCATGCTACTGTACCTCTTCCCTGGCCTTGCTTCTTTTCCCACAGTCGCTGACCTCATTTCGCACCTCCGCACTAGTGACACTCGCTATCGCGCTGCACTCCCTGCTGACTTCTGCGCCAAGAACCCCCCCCCCATGTACATCACCCTCTACTACATAGTCACTCGCCTCCCTGACTCCCTTCGCGTAGTCAGGGACCACTTCCTCTCAGTCTGTCCCACCTCTCTCACTGTCGACCTCCTCGAGAAGTCCCTACTAGCGGCCGAGAAGGGCATTGTCGCTGTAGGGGCCTCTCGTGGTGACCCGCGCACCCCCATCTTTGAGGGGTGTTCCCCTTCCCCCCTTCTGCCCTCTGTTGCCTCTGCTGCTGCGGCCGACCTCCTTGGTCTTGAGTCGGTCGGTGCGGCGTCTGCCCCTAGTGGGAGACGCCGCCCTGGCAAGGGCAAGGGGGGCAAGGGCACCGGAGGAGCGAGCGGGGGCGGTGGAGGTGGAGGTGGCGGCAGTGGGGGGAGTGGGGGTGGCGGTGGGGGTGGAGGTGGGGGTGGAGGGGTCGGTGGCGGCGGTGGAGGCGGAGGTGGCGGCGGTGGCGGCGGTGGAGGCGGCGGTGGAGGAGGTGGCGGCGGGGGAGGCGATGGCGGAGGCGGCAGCAGTAGCGGAGGCGGCGGAGGCGGCGGAGGCGGCGGGGGTGGCGGTGGATCTGGTCGCGGGTCTTCGCAGAGGAGTGGCTCCGATGGTGCCACGCGCCAGCAGCAGCAGCGCGGTCGTGAGGGCCTGTCCCCCCAGCAGCTCCGTGAGTTGTACACACAGCGTCAGCGTGGTGGGAGCTTTGGTCCCTGCACCTACGTCCTTCGCACCGGCGACCGCGCGGGTGAGCAGTGCGGGGGTGCCCACACCGCCCAGCGCTGCTTTGGCCGCCTGACGGACGCTTGGCGTCAGCAGTTCCCGGAGGCCAGTGAGATTCCCCGCTGGGGAGAGTTGTCTAGGGCAGGCGTAGCTATCTTTGATCTTGACTTTGATGCTATCCTTGCTGCCATGTATGCTGTGACTTTTAGTGATGAGGGTGACTGTTACCGGTGTTTCCCGCCCGACTCAGGCATTGGTACTGCTGCTCTAGGTGCCGGTGAGGCTGCTGCTCTAGGTGCAAGTGCGTCTGCGCCCTCAGGTACTGGTGAGTCTGCGCTCTCAGGTACTACGTCGGCTTTGGCCTCCCTCACCTTCACCCTTGACTCTGGGGCTTCTCGCTCCTTCTTTCGGGACCGCACCACACTCACGCCGCTTAGTCGGCCAGTTGCGGTGTCTCTGGCTGACCCCTCTGGGGGTCCTGTCCTGTCTCGCTTCTCTACAGTCCTCCCGTGTCCGGCGGCTCTCTCTGGCACCCTGTCTGGTCTCTACCTCCCCTCGTTCTCTACGAACCTGGTGAGTGGTGCTGACCTACAGGATGCGGGTGTCCACCAGTTCACTCCTGCGCGCCAGCGGATGACGCACTGCACCGAGGCTAGCACAGGCCGACACCTGGCTACGTTTACCCGTCAGCCAAGGTCGAGCCTGTACACACTGACCACTGCGTCTCCTCCCGTTGCTTGTTCTGGTAGGGTAGCTGCGTCGGGTCAGGTGTTTGCTGCAGCATCCAGGTCTGGTCCTGAGTCTGCCCCCTGTTCGTGTCGTCGTCTGTCTCACGAGACCCTCCTCTGGCACCACCGCCTTGGCCACCCCTCTCTGCTTCGGCTCAGAGGCATGGCCTCGCGGGTCCTTGTGTCTGGTCTTCCCCGGTCCCTCCCTCCCCTTCCTCCGGGCCCTGGCCCTGCCTGTGTCCCCTGTGTCGAGGGGCGCCAGCGTGCTGCCCCTCACTCCTCCCAGTTTCCTCCGACAGAGGCCCCGTTGCAGACGCTTCACATGGACGTGTGGGGCCCAGCCCGCGTCCGTGGACTCGGTCACGAGCGCTACTTCCTGCTGGTGGTTGACGACTACTCGCGTTACACCACAGTCTTCCCCTTGCGCAGCAAGGGTGATGTCACTGAGGTGCTGATCGACTGGATCCGCGCAGCTCGTCTCCAGCTCAGGCAGAGCTTTGGCTCGGACTTTCCTGTTCTGCGTCTGCACTCGGACAGAGGCGGAGAGTTCTCCTCTGGCCTTCTGCGAGCCTACTGTCGTGCACGAGGCATCCGTCAGACCTTCACGCTTCCGGACTCACCGCAGCAAAATGGGATTGCTGAGCGCCGCATTGGCATGGTCATGGACGTCGCTCGTACGTCCATGATGCATGCGGCTGCCCCCCATTTTCTGTGGCCGTTTGCGGTCAGGTACGCGGCGCATCAGATCAACCTTCACCCCAGGGTCTCCAGGCCGGAGACCTCCCCAACTTTGCTGTGGATGGGGAAGGTTGGCGATGCGTTGGCGTTCCGGGTCTGGGGATCTCGGGCGTTTGTCCGCGACTTGTCTGCGGACAAGCTGTCCCCTCGTGCTGCTCCTTGCGTGTTCCTGGGGTTCCCCCCTGACGCGCCTGGGTGGCAGTTCTACCACCCCACCTCTCGCCGTGTTCTGTCCTCCCAGGACGTCACGTTTGACGAGTCGGTCCCCTACTACCGCCTCTTCCCCTACCGCACCCCGTCCCTCCCTCCACCCCCACTCTTCCTTGTCCCAGGTCCCCCCCCGGTAGACCCCCTCCCCCCTCAGGGTCCTGCCCCTTCAGGTGTGTCCCAGGTAGACGCAGTTGAGCCTGTCGAGGTTACTGGTGACTCTGGTGCTGCTGAAGGTGCTGAGCCTGGGGGTGCTGCGACTGGGGGTGCTGGGCCTGGGGTTGCTGAGCCTGGGGGTGCTGCGACTAGGGGTACTGAGCCTGGGGGTGCTGCGACTGGGGGTGTGGGTTCAACACACGGTGGGTTCAACACACGGTGGGTTGAACACACGGTGGGTTGAACACACGGTGGGTTTAACACACGGAGGGTTCAACACACGGTGGGTTGAACACACGGTGGGTTGAACACACGGTGGGTTGAACAAACGGTGGGTTTAACACACGGTGGGTTTAACACACAGTGGGTTCAACACACGGTGGGTTGAACACACGGTGGGTTGAACACACGGTGGGCTGAACACACGGTGGGTTCAACACACGGTGGGTTGAACACACGGTGGGTTGAACACACGGTGGGTTGAACAAACGGTGGGTTGAACACACGGTAGGTTGAACACACAGTGGGCTGAACACACGGTATGTTGAATACACGGTGGATTGAACACACGGTAGGTTGAACACACAGTGGGCTGAACACACGGTATGTTGAATACACGGTGGATTGAACACACGGTAGGTTTAACACACGGTGGGTTGAACACACGGTGGGATTAAAACACGGTGGGTTGAACACACGGTGGGTTGAACACACGATGGGTTGAACACACGGTGGGTTTAACACACGGTGGGTTGAACACACGGTGGGTTGAACACACGGTGGGTTGAACACACGGTGGGTTGAACACACGATGGGTTGAACACACGGTGGGTTGAACATACGGTGGGTTGAAGACACGGTGGGTTGAAGACACGGTGGGTTGAACACACGGTGGGTTGAACACACGGTGGGTTGAACACACGGTGGGTTGAACACACGGTAAGTTGAACACACGGTGGGTTGAACACACGGTGGGTTGAACACACGGTGGGTTGAACACACGGTGGGTTGAACACACGGTGGGTTGAACACACGGTGGGTTGAACACACGGTGGGTTGAACACACGGTGGGTTGAACACACGGTGGGTTGAACACACGGTGGGTTGAACACACTGTGGGTTGAACACACGGTGGGTTGAACACACGGTGGGTTGAACACACGGTGGGTTGAACACACGGTGGGTTGAACACACGGTGGGTTGAACACACGGTGGGTTGAACACACGGTGGGTTTAACACACGGTGGGTTTAACACACGGTGGGTTGAACCCACGGTGGGTTGAACCCACGGTGGGTTGAACGCACGGTGGGTTGAACACACGGTTTGTTGAACGCACGGTGGGTTGAACACACGGTGGGTTGAACACACGGTGGGTTTAACACACGGTGGGTTGAACACACGGTGGGTTTAACACACGATGGGTTGAACACACGGTGGGTTGAACACACGGTGGGTTGAACACACGGTAGGTTGAACACACGGTGGGTTTAACACACGGTGGGTTGAACATACGGTGGGTTGAACACACGGTGGGTTGAACACACGGTGGGTTTAACACACGGTGGGTTGAACACACGGTGGGTTGAACACACGGTGGGTTGAACACACGGTGGGTTGAACACACGGTGGGTTGAACACACGGTGGGTTGAACACACGGTGGGTTGAACACACGGTGGGTTGAACACACGGTGGGTTGAACACACGGTGGGTTTAACACACGGTGGGTTGAACACACGGTAGGTTTAACACACGGTGGGTTGAACACACGGTGGGTTGAACACACGGTGGGTTGATCACACGGTTGGTTGAACACACGGTGGGTTGAACACACGGTGGGTTGAACACACGGTGGGTTGAACACACGGTGGGTTGAACACACGGTGGGTTGAACACACGGTGGGTTGAAGACACGGTGGGTTGAACACACGGTGGGTTGAACACACGGTGGGTTGAACACACAGTGGGTTGAATCCACAGTGGGTTGAACGGACGGTGGGTTGAACACACGGTGGGTTGAACACACGGTGGGTTGAACACACGGTGGGTTGAACACACGGTGGGTTCAACACACGGTGGGTTGAACACACGGTGGGTTGAAAACATGGTGGGTTGAACACACCGTGGGTTGAACACACGGTGGGTTGAACACACGGTGGGTTGAACGCACGGTGGGTTGAACACACGGTGGGTTGAACACACGGTGGGTTGAACACACGGTGGGTTGAAGACACGGTGGGTTGAACACACGGTGGGTTGAACACACGGTGGGTTGAACACACGGTGGGTTTAACACACGGTGGGTTGAACACACGGTGGGTTGAACACACGGTGGGTTGAACACACGGTGGGTTGAACACACGGTGGGTTGAACACACGGTGGGTTGAACACACGGTGGGTTGAACACACGGTGGGTTGAACACACGGTGGGTTGAACACACGGTGGGTTGAACACACGGTGGGTTTAACACACGGTGGGTTGAACACACGGTGGGTTGAACCCACAGTGGGTTGAACGCACGGTGGGTTGAACGCACGGTGGGTTGAACGCACGGTGGGTTGAACACACGGTGGGTTGAACACACGGTGGGTTGAACACACGGTGGGTTCAACACACGGTGGGTTCAACACACGGTGGGTTGAACACACGGTGGGTTGAACACACGGTGGGTTGAACACACGGTGGGTTGAATACACGGTGGGTTGAACGCACGGTGGGTTTAACACACAGTGGGTTGAACACACGGTGAATTGAACACACGGTGGGTTGAACACACGGTGGGTTGAACACACGGTGGGTTGAAGACACGGTGGGTTGAAGACACGGTGGGTTCAACACACGGTGGGTTGAACACACGGTGGGTTGAACACACGGTGGGTTTAACACACGGTGGGTTAACACACAGTGGGTTGAACACACGGTGGGTTGAACACACGGTGGGTTGAAGACACGGTGGGTTGAACACACGGTGGGTTGAACACACGGTAGGTTTAACACACGGTGGGTTGAACACACGGTGGGTTGAAACACACGGTGGGTTGAAACACACGGTGGGTTGAACACACGGTGGGTTGAACACACGGTGGGTTAACACACGGTGGGTTGAACACACGGTGGGTTTAACACACGATGGGTTGAACACACGGTGGGTTGAACACACGGTGGGTTGAACACACGGTAGGTTGAACACACGGTGGGTTTAACACACGGTGGGTTGAACACACGGTGGGTTGAACACACGGTGGGTTGAACACACGGTGGGTTTAACACACGGTGGGTTGAACACACGGTGGGTTGAACACACGGTGGGTTGAACACACGGTGGGTTGAACACACGGTGGGTTGAACACACGGTGGGTTGAACACACGGTGGGTTGAACACACGGTGGGTTGAACACACGGTGGGTTGAACACACGGTGGGTTTAACACACGGTGGGTTGAACACACGGTAGGTTTAACACACGGTGGGTTGAACACACGGTGGGTTGAACACACGGTGGGTTGATCACACGGTTGGTTGAACACACGGTGGGTTGAACACACGGTGGGTTGAACACACGGTGGGTTGAACACACGGTGGGTTGAACACACGGTGGGTTGAACACACGGTGGGTTGAAGACACGGTGGGTTGAACACACGGTGGGTTGAACACACGGTGGGTTGAACACACAGTGGGTTGAACCCACAGTGGGTTTGAACGGACGGTGGGTTGAACACACGGTGGGTTGAACACACGGTGGGTTGAACACACGGTGGGTTGAACACACGGTGGGTTCAACACACGGTGGGTTGAACACACGGTGGGTTGAAAACATGGTGGGTTGAACACACCGTGGGTTGAACACACGGTGGGTTGAACACACGGTGGGTTGAACGCACGGTGGGTTGAACACACGGTGGGTTGAACACACGGTGGGTTGAACACACGGTGGGTTGAAGACACGGTGGGTTGAACACACGGTGGGTTGAACACACGGTGGGTTGAACACACGGTGGGTTTAACACACGGTGGGTTGAACACACGGTGGGTTGAACACACGGTGGGTTGAACACACGGTGGGTTGAACACACGGTGGGTTGAACACACGGTGGGTTGAACACACGGTGGGTTGAACACACGGTGGGTTGAACACACGGTGGGTTGAACACACGGTGGGTTGAACACACGGTGGGTTTAACACACGGTGGGTTGAACACACAGTGGGTTGAACCCACAGTGGGTTGAACGCACGGTGGGTTGAACGCACGGTGGGTTGAACGCACGGTGGGTTGAACACACGGTGGGTTGAACACACGGTGGGTTGAACACACGGTGGGTTCAACACACGGTGGGTTCAACACACGGTGGGTTGAACACACGGTGGGTTGAACACACGGTGAGTTGAACACACGGTGGGTTGAATACACGGTGGGTTGAACGCACGGTGGGTTTAACACACGGTGGGTTGAACACACGGTGAATTGAACACACGGTGGGTTGAACACACGGTGGGTTGAACACACGGTGGGTTGAAGACACGGTGGGTTGAAGACACGGTGGGTTCAACACACGGTGGGTTGAACACACGGTGGGTTGAACACACGGTGGGTTTAACACACGGTGGGTTTAACACACGGTGGGTTGAACACACGGTGGGTTGAACACACGGTGGGTTGAAGACACGGTGGGTTGAACACACGGTGGGTTGAACACACGGTAGGTTTAACACACGGTGGGTTGAACACACGGTGGGTTGAACACACGGTGGGTTGAACACACGGTGGGTTGAACACACGGTGGGTTGAACGCACGGTGGGTTTAACACACAGTGGGTTGAACGCACGGTGGGTTGAACACACGGTGGGTTGAACACACGGTAGGTTTAACACACGGTGGGTTGAACACACGGTGGGTTGAACACACGGTGGGTTGAACACACGGTGGGTTGAACGCACGGTGGGTTGAACACACGGTGGGTTGAACACACGGCGGGTTGAACACACGGTGGGTTGAACACACGGCGGGTTGAAGACACGGTAGGTTTAACACACGGCGGGTTGAACACACGGTAGGTTTAACACACGGTGGGTTGAACACACGGTGGGTTGAACACACGGTGGGTTGAACACACGGGTGGTTGAACACACGGTGGGTTGAACACACAGTGGGTTGAACACACGGTAGTTGAACACACGGTGGGTTGAACACACGGTGGGTTAACACACGGTGGGTTGAACACACGGTGGGTTGAACACACGGT